GGGAAAGAGAAAGAGAAGGGGTGGGAGAGAGAGGGAGGGAGAGAGAGAGATGATTCGTGAGGTAGTCTAGCTTTCTATCTGAAGAACAAGGGACCCAAGAAGTTCATGAAATACATGGAGGAGAGTCAACAATTTCAGCAAATAGTTACTTTGACCTATTGTGTCAGTCAGTCTGTTAAGGCCAATACAACTAATATAAATAAAATTCCATCCCTCCCTCAAAGAGCTCAGACTACTGATAAGAGACAAAATTATTATCTGGGCTGGACAGATAGCCAACAAGCCTGAATGTTAATATTTCAATTTTTTATTGAAGAGATATCCTCCAACTTTCCTTTTTATTAAAATATTGCATTGTAATTCCCTGTCTCTACATAAATGTACCATTTGTTTTATACTTCCAGCTCTCAAAAATTAGCTTGTAACTTTAGTGTTCTGATGGGTCATTTTTCACAGGACTAAAACTCTTCCATTACTGAAAAGCTCACCAGGGAAGAAAATAAACTGCATTGGGACTTCCCTGGTGGTCCAGTGGTTAAGAATCCGCCTTCCAATGCAAGGGACGAGGGTTCAATCCCTGGTCAGAGAACTAAGGTCTCACGTGCCATGGGGCAACTAAACCCACATACCACAACTACTGAGCCCGTGCGCTCTGGAGCCCACAAGCCACAACTAGAGAGAAGCCCAGGCACCGCAACTAAAGATCCTGACACAGCCAAATAAATACATTAATATTAAAAAAAAAAAGAAAGAAAGAAAAGAAAAGAAACTGCACTGATTTGAAAATTCGACAAAATTTCAAAAAGAAAAAAAAAGGCACTTCAAATTGATTTAGTAAGGTTGTTAAGGATTCTGCTATCACTGTCGGAGTCCCCTTTTCATTTCTTTTTTTAAGGACTGAATTTAAAACATCTTTTAATTCAATGAAGAAAGTTAAGTTACCATTTTTATTCACTTGTTGACTACCATTTCATTGCTAGAATTAAAAATAGTAATGAAAAGTGGAACCTGACTATATGCCTTTTTAACTATTCACTCATTATTTATTCCATATCCCTTAAAAGCTGGAGTTAAGAACATATTTGTTAGTATATTAGTTTCTCTGTCCAATAAATAAAGATTAAGATAGTAACCTTCTTCCTTCTTAGCAGCTACAAGGAATTACAACTTTTTCAAATTGTAAATGTGTTATACAAAATGTTTTTATTACTATTAAGTAAAGGACATAATCATAAGGTTGGTGGTTAGAAAATATTTTCATAAACTTTAAAACAAGGTGTCAGCGTGTACTATTATTGGTAAATCTGATGTGACAATCCAAACTGAAAAATATGGGCAAATTAGGGGGCAACTAGTTTACAAACTTTTCATGAACTCTTTCTAAAATTAAAATAAGGAATGCTGTTACTGAAGATATGACCATTAGATGGCAGCATTAGGTGAGATTTAAGATCCAACTGACAAAGATGTCAATTGAAGGTTGCTTTTTGCATGACTACTCAGAAAGGGGGTGGTGGTGGAAATCAGGAATATTTTACAGGAAGTCACTGAGTAAGACTGATTTCGTTCCCTGTGTGGCAAATGAAAACTTTATCTCTTCCTGACATCACTGCAAAAGTAGTGTCAATTTCTACATTCTTTCAAAAAATGACTAAAGAAATTTTCACATATTGAGGTGTGGGGAAGTATTCTGGCTTATACATGATTTAACTCAAATGTTATGCGAACTAAAACAGCCTATTTGTGGCCTATCAAACATATACTGTATATATGCTTTCATTATTAAAGAAAAGGATGCACTGACCAGAAGTAAAGAATGTCCATGTTAAAGATAAAGATGAAATGCCTCCCTTCCTGGGACACCAATGCTGGTACTCGCTCTCTTGACGATAAGACTCCCTTACCAGGTGTCAAGGCCATACTGACTCACTGTGTACATGCTTATCTGGTTTTTTTGAAACCTTGAAGGAATGTGTCTGTGACTTGTTTGATGTTATTTGTTCTGACAAGATATAAAACTGTGCTGAAGGGCTTCCCTGGTGGCGCAGTGGTTGAGAGTCCGCCTGCCGATGCAGGGGACACGGGTTCGTGCCCCGGTCTGGGAAGACCCCACATACCGCAGAGCGGCTGGGCCCGTGAGCCATGGCCGCTGAGCCTGTGCGTCCGGAGCCTGTGCTCCGCAACGGGAGAGGCCACAACAGTGAGAGGCCCGCGTAATGCAAAAAAAAAACAAACAAACAAACAAAAAAAAACTGTGCTGAAAACCATGCCTCTCTAGAGCAGATCCTCAGAGATATCCAACAGGCTGTCTCCCAGGCTACAGTCCTCCACTTGGCTCAAATAAAATTCTTCTCTATTCCAATTATAGATTGTTTACTGATTATTTTCATCGACAGACCATCATTTAATTGCCTCTTAGAGGTTGTGGGAATTTCTCCAAGAGACCTCACTGGCCCAAAAGGGACCCACTTTGATCACATTCTGTTACTAATTGCCAGTGTTTCTTTAGACCTCTCTTAGTAAACAGAGCAATGGGCTTGGATCCCCAAGGCAGGACTCTAGTTCTGAATAAAGAAATGAATATCAGTAAACAACTAGTAACCTAGTAAACAATGAGGAGAAAAACACCAGAGGTACTTCTCATACAAACCGAATCATCTCTGTCCATCGAACAGCTTCCTGAAGCTCCATCAATCTCTCTTTATATTGGTTTCTCTCCATCAGAACTCGGGCCATTTCCACTCTAGTAAACCGCTTCCTTTGGGCTGTGGGAATATCACTCTATATATAACGAAAAGAAGACTACAGATCACTCTGGGAGCCTGTATCTGTTTTAGTGTTATCGCAGACTTAAGTAAAAATTTTAAGCTTTTAACATTCCTTAATTTCTAATCTAATGGATAACAAAAAAAAAGGCCTAATAAAAATAAAATCAATAAAGAGATATACTTAATTATTTATGACTGAAAAAAGTAGACAATTTAATTCCTCAATATAAATACAAAATATTTGAATATATTATAAAGGAAATACAAAGAACAGTGCAGATTTTGAAGAAAAACAAAAAAGCTGTTATCTCTATAGATTTAATACACTCACCTGGAAATGTTCTCACAACAGTATTTTAAATTCATGTTCTATAACAAATGCTAGTTATTCAGAAAATAGTTACAAGTAAGTTCCTAAAGGGGTTCATTTATCTCAAACTACCAATCTACATACACACTCAAAGCCAGCGAAAAGCATAAAAACTTGTTGGCTAGCTACCAAGGTACCCAATGCTAAGAGTCACTAAAACACCAAAAGAAATATAACAAGATGGAGACAACTGTATTAACCAGAATTATTATTAGGGAGAATAAGGAATGTGAGCATGGTAAGACCCCAAAGGGGCATGCTCAAGTCAACTTCCTTCTCCTGCTGATTTCTAAAGGCTCTTCTGGAGAGGAAGGTTGGGTTAACTGTAGGGCTTTTGTTTTGCTGAGTGCAGTATGCACATTGTGAATCAAAGCTGAAAGGCATGGGACAGTAAGAAAGAAGCTGAGCTTAGCTTATCCCTCAGCAGTCTCCTTCTTTGTCCTCCTGCTGCAGAACTTAACCTCTCCTTTAAAAAAAAGTCAAACAACAAGTGATCAAAGGATTTTGAGTTTGCAACACAGCAATCCCACTACTAGGTATATACCCTGAAAAACCAGAAGACTCTCACTGTAATGTTCATAACAGCATTGTTGGTGGTAGTAAAAAGCTGAAAATAACCTAAATATTCATTTACAGGAAAACAGATACAGAAATTGTAGTATATTCATAATGGGATATTATAAAGCAGTGAACATGAATGAACTATACCACTATACTACAACTAGGGTAAATATAAAAAACATAATACTGAGAAAAAGAAGCAAGTCTCCAAGGCTAAATACATATAAAACACAAAAACAGTGAAAATTAACCATACCTTGTAAGGATACATACATGTGTGGTATGATAAAATTATTTTTTTTTCAAGTTAAGAAAATGATAAATACAGCATAGTAGCTTCCTCTAGAGGGAAGAGCATAGGGTATCTTCAATGTTTGATAATGTTCTAGTCCTTAGGTTAAATGGTAGGTTCATAATGTTAATTTATTATAATGTTAATTATAAGTTATTATTCATAACTTACATGTTACATATATTTTTAAATGTATCAAATATTATATAAAAACACAAATAAGAGATTGAAGGGGCACAAAATAATCATTCTGATCAGGACATCCATATATCTCAAGTTTGATACTTGACGGGCAAACACCTGTGACAGGCAGAATAACTGGCATGCTAATAACATTGGCAAGAAGTTCATATTTATTCTTTTGTATTTATATGTTGACAACAATATGGGCTAACTGCCTAGTATTAAAGTTTCTAGACTTCATCTTTTTATGTTTAATACCATTAAACTATTTTTATTCTTAAGGTTTTCATATATTTCTAAGTTAAAATTTGAAACAAAACAAAAACAAAAAAACTCCAAAATATCCCACCTGGTCCTTGAGCTTGAATAGGCAGACACAAGTCAGAGCACAAAGCCATGGAGGAAAAATGAGCACACTGCGTGTAGCTAGAAAGCTTAGCATCTGGATACTATGTGGGAGCATGATCTATCCTATTCATGATCATAAACACGATTTTAATTTTTTCTTTTCATCTTTATAATGCTATACCCAAAGCTTAATTAACAAGATTTCCCCAAAATACCAAAATATGGTAGGTTAAGAAAACAAGTCCAAAATTATAAACCTACATCATCATCATCTTTTGCTTTTTGCCTTGCATCTTCAGCCTCTGCACGAGCTCTAGTGGGGGGTAAAAAACAAAACATGTTATTTGAGTTGACTTCACCTTTTTAAAGAATAAAGAACAGGTCAAAAATTTTAACCACCACTAAATGATTATTTTTCTTTTTCCAAACAGGGTATTTAGCTGCTTTCATTTAGGGGAACATTATCATAGCACTGAAAACCAGGCATTAAAGAAAAGGAAAATAATGAATGTTTACAGTTTCCTGATTAGCAATATTTGAACAGCTCTTCTAACTTCTTTCACATCATGACATGCACAAAAAATTATAATATTCAATAAATGGAAGGGTCTGTTCAGAGCAGAGGCAATCAGCCAAGCACTTAACCCTATCCCAGGCAGCTCTGGGGCCTTCGTGACGAGAGCGCTAAACGTAGCAGTCTCGGGGTTACACCTATAACCTTGGTGGCACACTGGCAAAGCTTGTTTGGTTTAGAACAACATAGTGAAAACTTACTTCCTAAGCTCTTCCTCCAGTTCTCTGTTCTTCTCCTCTAGCTTCAGCTTGGCTTGTTTCACAGCCTCCAACTCCCCTTGCAGCACGTCTTTCTCACAGGTAAGTTCATCCACTTTTGCTATCAAATCATTCTTCACTACATTCAACGCATTTCTAAGAAACACATATTTCAAGAGCACCATTACAAGTAAATATTCTTTATATCTCACAGCTTATTTCTCTTGCAGACTAAAGTAACTACAATCATAAAGCTAAATAATGACTGAAACCTTCAAAGGTATTCTACCTGATGTTGTCTGTAAATAAAGGTTTAAAAAAAAACCCCACAAAGCAATGGTCTGTTTTCTTATCAAAGAATAAACAGAGGAACTTCCCTGGTGATCCAGTGCCTAAGACTCCATGCTCCCAATGCAGGGGGCCTGGGTTAGGTCCCTGGTCAGAGAACTAGATCCCACATGCTGCAGCTAAGAGTTCACATGCTGCAACTAAAGATCCCGCATGCTGCAATGAAGATCATGCGTGCCGCAACTAAGACCCAGCGCAGACAAATAAATATATATTTTTTTAAAAAGAAGAATAAATGGATAAGGCAAGACAGACCACTACATTATTAAAAAGTCAGAATTAAATAAAATTAAACTTTTAACAAATAGCATCCAGGACTTCCATGGTGGTGCAGTGGTTAAGAATCCACCTACCAATGCAGGGGACATGGGTTTGATCCCTGGTCCGGGAAGATCCCACATGCTGCAGAGCAACTAAGCCCATGCGCCACAACTACTGAAGTCTGTGTGCCCCAGAGCCTGCATGCCGCAACTTCTGAGCCCACGCGCCTCAACTACTGAAGCCGGCACGCTCTAGGGCCCGTGTGCTGCAACTACTGAAGCCTGTGCGCCTAGAGCCCATGCTCCGCAACAAGAGAAGCCACCCCAATGAGAAGTCTGCGCACCGCAACAAAGAGCAGCCCCCACTCGCTGCAACTGGAGAAAACCCGCACACAGCAACAAAGACCCAACGCAGCCGAAAATAAATAAAATAAAGTGGTTAATTAAACAAACAAACAAAAAAACAAATAGCATCCATAAGGGTACCGTCCTTAATAAGTTCTGAAAAGATATTATCTAATCAACAAAGTAAAATTAATCCTTGAATTTACCTTTAATAATTAATAAGAAAGTCTAACCTTGAAAAAAATGAAGAAAAAAATCTAAGATCTAGCTACTTTTGCGTATCGTGGACATAGGACGCCATTAGAGCTACATTCTGTTTTGGATATACACAGATGTTCCAAAGTTGCTCTGACACAGCAAATTTACAAAGGGGCCTGACCTGCTTTTCCATGTAACTCAGCACCCACTGCACTTAACAAAACTCCAATGTGTTTGAGGGCCTAAGTAAGACTCCACAAATTGCTACTATGGAGGAGAGCTCTGAAGAGGTGGGCCGCATATAGATAAAAACATTTATAAAGAAATAAAAGAAGCCCCAAGAGGAGAGAGAAGAAAATAGATATCCCAGGGGAGGGAGCAAAAACCACATAGGACACATCCAGAAGATTAAGAGAAAGGCATGGATACTTGCAGGGTAGAAAGGAGATCAAAATCTGTTTCTGAAAAGAACAGAGTAATGAAACATACCATCAGTGAAATTAGGTCCCATTAACTATTTGCTTGTGTACGTGTGTACGCACAAGCCCACACACAGAGAAGGGGAAGGACATGGGGTAGTGAGACTGCATTCGTGCTATGCTAAATTAAAGATGTGCCATTGAATTGGATGAGAAGAAAATTCAGTATCTTTTGTTCCCTGTTAAAATTTTGCATATACTTACTTGGTTTCCAACAGTTGTGTATTTTCCAATATAAGATTCTCAACTTCACGACCCATTCCTATCAAAGAAAAAAGATAAAAACTTTGAAAATAAATTTATTAAAATTATATAAACTTATAATAAGCTATAGTCTCAAATTTTATTTTATAAATTTTATCTGTCCTTTAGTAATCTCATTTTGTCTATAATTTCATTTTACGTATCTACTTGTATGGATTATAAAATTATAAATAATTATCTACCACAAAACAAAGCTAACGATTTTCTTAGTCTGTATTTTGCTTCTCATAGATAATATTTCAAAAGAATGAAGACTTTTCTGCCAAATATTCTAAAAAGTAGCAGTATTTAGGGGGAAAAGAGAGTAGCATTAATATGGATCAGAAATCATTTCTAAATCACACCTGTTATTGCAGGCTTTTGCCTAAAAATTAGGTCTTATTAATAGAGAACAGGAAGAAACAAGAAAGACCCCAATGCAGATGAAACCTTACCAAAGAAATTATGGTCTTAAAGCCCATGCATTCCATGTAAAGCAAAAACAAAGAACAAGAAATGTTTTATGTAAGAAACAGAATGAAAAAAGATCATTAATCTGTAGTTTTAGGCATGATATGAAAAACATCTGAAATCACCAAGTCATGATTTAATGCATAATGATGTGCGAAAGACAGAAATCAAGGTGATTTCCTTCATTCATAAGGATGTTCTGATATGTTACCAATTCTTTTGCAAAATAAAATTGAATATAATTAGAGTGAAAATCCCAGATCAATAATATAAAGATTTCTTCAAAGTGCCACCTCTGAAATGATAATGCTTAGTGGTCAATTTATACAATCATGCTTAATAATTTAATGAGCACTGTAAGGTAGGCAGTAGAGCATTCAATGCAAGATCCAATGTAGTGATCTTTAGGGAGAAGAAAGCTATTTAGTTTGCTACTCACAAGAAACTGAAGAAATCAAACAACACATTAGGGAATATACCTCAGAAAGTTACAACAGAGCAAAGCAAGCACAAGAAAAAACCCATCACTCCACTAATATTGGTAAGTCACATACAATGGAAGTAATATTCATAACCCACCTGAAAAAGGAAGTAAATATCTCTAATGAAAACAATGTAAGTTAAAGGAGTTAACATGTCTCTTTATTTTAAAAAAGAGGTAATATTTCAAATAACTTAAAGATAATTTAAAACGCAACTAATCTAGGAATGCTAAAAGTTCAATGCTCACACGTGGACTCATATTTTGTCTGTATTATAATTACCTCAAACATTCTTAAAGAAGAAGGTACTTCTGCCATGAAGAATAAGTATCAGAAACAGTAGCTTATTTAATCATCTACATATTTCCAAAAGCTGAAAATAAAGCCAAACTAAAAGTTTCCAAATTCCAATTTAAAAATGAATTTTGACAAGATATGTTGAAATATTTGCTTTAAACACTAATGTTAACTTTTCAATAAAGCTACAGAGTCAAAAGAAATATGGTTAAGGTTGGGTGAAAAAAGTTTATATAATGACTATGTCTGCTAAACTCTCAAGCACATAGGGAGATAAGCATAAAAGCTGAAAATATATGCAGGGGGAAAAACAGTTGAGCAGAAAAAAAAAAGAGAGAAAGCATTAAATGAGAACAGCAGCCAAGACCACCTAGCTTAAAAAGCAGTAATATTAAAGAATTTAAAAGCATACACACCAGAATATTCCCCTGGGTAAGCAGCCCAAGAGAAAAAACGAATGAGAATCTCAATTAGATTGTTTTCAGAAAGCAAGATCTACACTCACTTATTTCAAAATGAGAGAGAGGAGCCAATAAAATTGAAAAGATGTAGAGAAACCAAACACAGTAAAGTATAAATATTATAAATAGGAAAAATTTTTGAAATATGTACTCTATGGAAATCATATCCTATAATGTAGTTTCTAGAGTTTACGCCTTCCCAATGAAGAGTTCTCCTAAAATCTAGTGTATAAATTTAATATATAACCAATAGGATGGTCCAAAATTTTCACTTTGAAATGTATCAATAAAAACTAACTAATAACTATAAGAAAAACGTAACTTGAAGTGGCCCCATTTCTATTCATGACTTCAACTAAGCATAAACTTAGGTCTGACATATTTGGAAACCTTACCTATTAAAACAAGCAAAAAAACTGCCTGACGGTTTTAAAAATAGACATCTCATTTGGATTTTAGCACTGATTCTCAAGCTCAGTCCATAGATGGGCTCTGGATTATCTGTCACTTCCTTGAGAAAGTATGCACAATTTTATCTATTTCTGTATGTGCATTTTTCCAAAAGTACACTACTCTCTTACAAATTCTCCTGTAAAGGAGTTTTAATTCCAAAAGGTAAAGAAGCATAGGTTTAGAGGCGAAACAAAACTGTTAAAAACTATTTAACAATCCATTCACTTAGCTGCTGTGCTATGTGCCAAAGACTCAACAGTGAGCAAAAGATATAGTTGTCTTTGTCACATTGAGCTTATCGTCTAGCCAGGGAGACAGGCACAATAAAGTACAAATAACTACAAATAACTACAAATAAAGGCACAATAAAGTACAAATAACTACAAAAAACTACAATAAAGTATTATGAAGAATTGCATAATAAACTGCAGTGCTATGGGAATATGTTTCCAAACAACTGAGCTTTAACTAGGGGATCAAGGCAGAACTCCTAGAGGAGGATATTCCATTTAATCAGAGGCAAGAAGGAGATACAGAGACAGATACATAGATTTTCTTTTTTAAGAAAGGACGCAAACAATCCTTCATGACTGGTTTTAAGGGAAGTGTGAGAGATTTAGGATGGAGAACTGAGTTGATGGTGAGGTTGTTCACTGAGTTAGTATATGCTGGTATAAGAACAGCCTTTGGGGACAGGACAATAAAGAAAGATGTTGATGAACTGAGCTTTACGCATATCAACTATAAAGTTCTACAAATCATCTTAAAGATGTCTAATGGGCTGTTTGGAAGTAATAGTCTGAGGCTGTAGAAAAAAATCTTGGACGGAGAGAAAGACTTGGGAGCAATTAGCCATGAAAGCCAGGAAACAAGAGCAAATAAGACCTCCCAAACATGGAAGCAAGACTGGGCTAGGAACATCTGAAAAATGGGCGGAGAAAGAGGATCCTGCAAAGAAGACTGAAAAGGAATAGTCAGAGGCAGGAAAGAATGCAGGGAAGTCTGATACCACAGAAACCCAGCAAAACCCGTTTTAAAGACAAATGCTATTTGAGAAGTCATGTGAAATAACTTAGAAGGAACAGCTGGATATAGCAAACAAGAAGCTGTTTCAGGGAAGGTTAGTGTGGGGCAGAATGCCAGACTGTAGTCAGATGAGGTGCAAGTGGGACTGGGGGAATCCTCCCAGTTAAAAGGAGCCACCCTTTCAAGAAGTCTGTTTTGTTCACTGGTGTATCACAAGCATCTAGAATAGTGCCAGGCTCGTAACAGACGCCTACCTCACCCATATTTCTGCAGAAAAGCACGCCTGGAAATGGGAGAAGAGTAAGTGACAGGGTGGAAGGTACAAAAGGCAGGGAGTCAGAGGAGGGCAGTAGTTTTATTTTAAAATGGAAAAGACCCGAACATGTTTAAATGATAACAGGAAGAAGTTAGTAAAAATAGTGAAGTTGAAAAAATAGAATTTAATCAAGAGAATGAAAATCTCAAGAGTAGGATGTATGAGTGTATGATTTCCAAGTTCTAGAACGTGGCCATGGAGGGTAAGTGACTAAAGTGAATAGAGAAAAGGATCATTGGAAATAAAGTCAAGGGATGAGACATCAATCAGGATAAAGGACAAACTGTGGGGGATTATCTCTTTTAAATTATTAAAATCTGAAAAAGTAATCTAAATACTGACTACATGCATAATGATTTCAAAAACAAGGGAAGAGTTTTACAACAACACAGCAATTAGAAAAATGAATAATGAGTTATAGAAATGGACTATGTACTTATTTATCAACCAAAGTTCATTTAAGGAACTTTGTGAGAAACAATTTTACTAGTTTAACTATGTCCCATTTAGTGAGTATTACACTGCAATTACTATCACTGAACTGACCAGAAGAGAAGCCAGGGAAAAACTATGTGCCTTGGAGATGTCATTTAACATCTCTGACCACAAGTATTCATGTAGGCTTAAGTCACTACACTTAAGGTGATATATTAAAACTTCTAATCTGGAACATTCTACAGATAAATATATCAATATCTGCAAAAGGGAAAAGACAGTAGTTTACAGTCTATTTCTTTTTTTCAAAGTGGAAAGGAAATCAGAATTTTGCTTTTAACCTATTTATGATGCTTCATTTTCTGACTTAGAGAATGGAAGCTTTCGGAAAATACCTGATTTAAAAGACCACAATTATTTCTAAGTACTACGTGGCTTCTTAACTCTACAGGGAAGGAAGTTTGGGGCCAATAACCTCAATAGTGCTATTACTCAATACTGGATTATAGGGAAGCGAGTGTACAAGGAACATTTCAAAGTACTTTATTCTGGTTAAATACAAAGGGGAAGCAAGAAGGAATTTTTTTTTTAGATGATGTATATTGATTCTGGTGGTGGTTATACAACTCTATGCATTTGTTAAAACAAAAAATTGAACCTCACTGTATATAAACCTGAATATAAGTTTAAACATTAAAAAATTCTTCTTTCTAACATTTTTTTGCGTCTGCCCCTCAATTTTTGCCAGGCAATCAGTTTCTTAAACCAATCAAATCTTAAAAGGAACTTTTCATGCATGATTTAATCTTAACAACGAGTATAAATTTAAATGTAAAAATGGAGTGCTCCTTAAGAATTAATCTTTTAGCCTTTCTTGAGAAAGGCAAGCTCATTCAATTGCATCCAACGTTTTACTAAGCCTTTAATGGTGGGAGTCTATGTCTAACTCAGTTTTATTTATGTACTTTCAATCTCTCTTACTTTACATAAGACTGTGAGCTCTGTTTAGACAGAACTTGTATTTCCTTCAAAAAATACTTGTCGAGGACATAACTAGTAACCAATAAATTTAACATAAATGAATGCAAGTAACACCTCTCTAGGTTCACAAGAACTGACAAATGGCACCTTTTGAGAACAGTGTAATCTGTACTGAATTTACACTGAGGGATACAAAAAATGTTTGGAGACCAGAATCCATCCCAAAGGCATAGATTTTTTTTAATACTATAACATTTTCCATTTCTGTAAGGTCTTAAGTTATAATAAAGGCACACCAAAGCTAACTGACATGTCATGTAAGTTTTTTTTTGGCCGCGCCTCATGGCTTGAGGGATCTTAGTTCCCCGACTAGGGATTGAACCTGTGCCCCTGCAGTGGAAGCACAGAGTCTTCATCACTGGACATCCAGGGAAGTCCCATTCATGTAATTATTGTTGAAAGGAACTTTAGAGATCACCTAGAGCAGAGCAAACTTTTTCTGTAGAGGGCCAGATGGTAAATATTTTAGGCTTTGTAAACCACATAATCTGTTACAGACAACTTAACTCTGCTGTTGTGGGGTAAAAGAAACTGTAAACAATCCGTGAAAAATGAGTGTGGCTGTGTGAACTCTACTCGTACACATAGGAGGTGAGCTGGATTTGGCCCATGAGCCGCAGCTTGTCCAACCCTTGAACTCTTTCTTTTTATACACAAAGAAACTAATGCCCAGAGAGGTTAAGCTATTTGGCAAAGGTCACCAGATAAACAGTAGAAGAGCCAAATGCATTATCCTTTTCAAACCAGATATTCTTCAACAATACAAACTCTAAAATGATTACATTTCCCAAAGAGCTAAAACAGAATACTCTGTGAAATCTCAGAAAAATCAAGTGGTATAATTTCTTATTTAATTAAGGTCAACAGGATTTAATGAACGCTATTTAAGACAGGAATTAACTATCCATCAATCCATAAATCTATACATCTATACATATACCCCATATATACATATATCACTGTGCTTCTTCTATGTAATACTGTTCTCAGAATATAGCAGGAGTTCAATAAATTGTGTGACATGAACTCAAAATACAAACTAAAATGCAATTCAATTCTAGGCACATCCATAGGTGAAGATATTCTCATTTAAAACTTTCATTATCTCAAAGAATACATTCCTATTAATTATGTAGAAGTGCAATAACTCTGCCCCACTGGACAGTTAGAGACATTTTAAAGAAATTTTCAATTAAGTCATTTTAAAAATCTATTTTTAAAACAGTATGATACTACTTCAGATAAACTATCATACCTAGTAAATCTGCTCCTTCATCCACATCTCCAATTAGACCTGAACCAGCTGAAGACAGTTCTTCAAAGAGAGACTCTGTATTGCGATCAAAAGCTTTGTTCTCTATGCCTTTGGTGGGAGTGCTAGGCAGAAAAAAACCAAAACCAAATCAACAAAGATGTTTTCAACAGTTCAAAATGAATACAAAAGTCTAAGTTACATAGGAATGTTTTACCTGTAATTTACATTTAATATAAAATACAATTTAAAAGGATTTCATAAGAGATTCCCATTAAACTCCACAGAGAGAACTGTTGATGAATATATAGAATGTTTTTGCAGTGAGATCCTAGCAAACACAAACAATAAATGGCAGCTAAAAGAGAGCACTACTCTGCATTGTTCAGGCACTGGTCTAAGTCCTTTCACAGACTACCTTATTAAAACCTTTACACCTACTCTACAAAAGATCTGCTGCTATTATCCCAACTTTACAGAAGAGGAAACTAAAGAGGTTATGGAATTTGCCAAGATCATCCAGCAAATGAGTCAAAGAGGCAGAACTCAAACCCAGGCAGCCAGGCTTCAGAATCCATGATCTTAACTACCATGGTCCATGTTGTCTGGGTATAGATTAGCATGGCCATTTTATTTTTCTTTTAAGGGCAACTTGGCAATATCAAAATTTAAAATGTAAATACCCACTGACCCAAGAACTTGATGTTAAAAAAATTCCTACAGGGAATTCCCTGGCAGTCCAGTGGTAAGGACCTGGTGCTTTCACTGCAGTGGCTGGGGTTCAGTCCCTGGCTGGGGAACTAAGATCCCGCAAGCTGTGCAGCGTGGCCACAAATTAAAAAAAAAAAAAAAATTCTACAAAGCCCCTGTCACAAGAAGGCAATTATGTGTGTAAAAGGATGGTCAGAGCAGCAAAAAGTTGAAACAACCCAAGTGATCATTAACAGGGCATAGATGAAATAAGTTACGGATATACCTAAAAGTTTCAACTTTTAACTTTAAAAACATTAAAATACAGCTTTAGAAATGAAAGAAACCCATTATATAAAGGTGCTTTTTATAAAGCAAGTTGCAATACAGTATGTATAATATAAGCCCTTTTTGCAGGGGTATGGAGGAGAATGGGGAAATGTACGTGTTTGTGCATTAGTGTTACATTAATAGAAAAAAGTCTGCACAGGATTTCCAGTTAAATACGATGGACACAGTCATTTGTCACCCAATAATTCAGAAACTCAACTGAAATGACAGTAAAGGAATTTAAAAAGTATACACCCACAAGGACATAGGGAACAGAAAAAGAAACTACAGCAGATGAAATGTGAACAAAATTATATAAGATAGAAAACAGATGGGCAAACAGTAGAAATTGATTTAACAGACCAGACAAAGCTTCAACTTAAGCCATTAGTGTTTAGGAAGGAAGTCAGCATGCTGCCAGAACCCCTGAAAGGTTCAGGAATTGAAGGAACCAGCAATCTGCAGAGAGAAGCATGCAAGAGGGAACGTAAGATAGAGGGATGTGATGAAAGACAGCACAAGAAGCTATATGAGACCTAAATACAACCCTCCAGGACAGTGAGACCTCCCTTCTCCTGGCATTGCTCCCTGAACAATGGAAGCCAAGGTTAAATGTTATAGGCAGAAAACTGGAGAATCAATGTCATTTACTTAAGTATGAGCAAAACAGCCACAGAGAACCAGACGATCAAAGAAAGCCTCTATCATAAAATTGAGTCCAAAACACTCAGAGTAAAAGGAGACAGTGAATGCAGACAGCAGCAAAAACTTAAAAAAAAATTTTTTTTATTTTATTTTCATAATGAAGTTACACCCGTAAGAGAACTGTAGGGTGTTATAAAAAGTAACTATCCAAGAAAAACAAAAAACTTTTAGAAAAAAAAATTGACGAGGGTTGAAAGAGAAAGTTGAAGAAATCATCCAGAAATTATAACAAAAATAGAAGAGACAGAAAAGAGGGGGAAAAGGGAATTATGAGGGTCAGTCCAGAATGTTCAATATCTACCTAATAAGTGTTCCAGAAAAAGAGAAGAAAAGACAACAAAAAGGAGAAATAAGAGAAAATTTCTCAACTGAGAAATATGAATTTCCAGATGAAAGGACTACTGCAGATAACAAAAGAAGATGCCTACATTGAACACATCATCATGAATTTTTAAAAAGGAAAAAGCAAACAAAACAACAACAAACAGGGATAAAGTAAAGATCCTAAAAGCTTACAGAGAATATATTAAAAAAGCAAGAATCCAAATGGCAACACTCCACTAAACATGACAATGAATTAATGTCCTCACAATTCTGAAGAAAAACTTCTGAAGATTTCCCAACCTGGAATTCTATATCCAGCCAAACTGTCATTCCTTTAAATGACATTTATCACATTCAAGTTCTCAAAAAACTTACTTCCAAAACAGCCTTTGCCAGGAAAGCTAGTAAGAATATTTCTGTCAAAACAAAGGCATAAATCAAGAAGCTAGATGTCATGGTATCCAGGAAATAGAAGATGGAACAAAGGAGAGAGGTGAAAAGAATTCCCAGCATGAAAATGAAGGCAAATTCCAGGACCAGAGTAAACACAAAAACGTCTACCCTGGAGAATGGTAATAGAAGGTTCCAGGAAACTGGTTTTATTTATATTTGGCCATTTTGAGAATGTTTACATTTATGATTTGCAGGGTATCTGTTAGTGAATTAGTGATAGGTATGTAGAAACCTAAGCAAAAGAAACAAACAGAACAAAACCAAAAACAACCCTGAGGCTTTACTAAATTAAAGAAAAACGAAGTTGTAAAAGAAAGGAAATGTAATCATAGTATATTCTGTGGCTAGGCTGTTATTAGTATTTATATAATCGTAATGATATAAACAATGAATGTTAATTTAACAGAAACTGAGATATAATTATATTGGGAGGATGAAAGGAAAGATGATGGTTTAAAGAGCTATACCCTATAAAGTCAATAGCTAATATTGCAGCCTTTTTTAAACCAGGACTCCTCATTTGATCCACAGAATACAGAAAATGATTTGAGTGACTATTTGCTCAATTCTCCCAAAGAAAGTATATAGCTAGTACTGTTCTAGATGCACAGGAGTATAAATATTTATTTATTTTTTGGCTGCCGCGGGTCTTAGTTACGGCGCACGGGATCTTTCGTTGCGGTACATGGGCTTCTCTCTAGCTGCAGTGTGCAGGCTCAGTAGTTGCAGTGCACAGGCTCCAGAGCGTGTGGGCTCTGTAGTTGCAGCACGCAGGCTCTCTAGTTGTGGCGCATGGGCCCAGCCGCCCCACAGCATGTGGGATCCTAGCTCCTTGACCAGGGATTGAACCGGCAAGACCTGCATTGCAAGGCGGATTCGCAATCACTGGACCACCAGGGAAGTCCCTGCACAGGAGTACAGCTAATTCATTATATACAAGGGGTGCCTTAGGGCATTAGGACTTGATTTTCTCACTGAATCCCAACTGAGAAAGAGAGAGACCAAGGAAGAACAGCATAGGATGTGATCTAGATACCTGAAGATAAATACCCAAAGAGACCTGAGAAGTGACAGAGATTGCCTCTTGGGAGTGGGAATGAGGGGTCAGTAGGGGTAAGGGCCTACTATTGCCCTTCATATTTTGTATTACGATTTGACCTTAATACTGCCACACATGCTTTAGTCTAATTAAAATGTTTTTAGATTTTTAAAAACAGGTTCAGAATGACAAGAGCGCACAACTGTTAGTAAGTAGCTGCATCTCTTAGGTTTAGGAGAGGATGAATAAGAAGCAAATTTCACTTTTTACACTCTGCATTGTTTAATTTCTTAAATAAATGATAAAGAAAAAAAATCTTTCAGTAGAGCACAGTCTTTGAAATCAGAGTCCTAGATTGAATCCCAGCTCCACCTCTTGCCAGCTTGATAATCTTGGACAAGTTACTGTACAACTCTGAGCTTCCTTATCTGTAAAATGGGGGTGAAGACATCAACCTCATAAGGTTATAATTAAGATAAAATGATATAAAACAATAATGAAGGTAACAATAATGTTAGCTAACATTTATTGAACTGGACACTTTGCCAATGATTTAACATGTATTGATTCATTTACTCCTTCCAACCATCTGAAGTATTATCATAATTCTCTTTTATGGATGAGGAAACTTACCTCAGATTCAAATCCAAGTCAGGATTTGAATGCATGTAGTCTTATTCTAGGCTCATGTTTTTTAACCGCTACTGCATATAATGTCTAGCAGTGATCAAAAAAATGGCACATATTTTTATGGTCACTGTTAATTAATTAAAAAATAAAATTTATGGAAGAAATTAAAAGGCAGCAGCTCCTGTGTGACGTTCTTCAACATCAATATGTTTCAGATGATCTTCATTAAGATGATACATACCATTCTCTTCTAACCTCTAAATAGCCTCCCCATGTAAAATGATACTAAAATGAGACTAATTTCTTCTAGTAATGAGATCATTACAGTTTTGAAGGGAATACACTGTATCCTTCCTGATTGGGGGAAGGAATAAAGTTTCTTCAAATTATATTTTCCCCACTTTTGCAGTTATGTTTTTCCCAGTTCCACAAAGTAGGGAATACTCCTTGGCTGTCTTTTTTCCCCATCCGTCCACATGCTCCTAGTCCCTGATGCTGCAAAGGTAACACTTCACAGAAGATTTAAACTATGTACAATATCCAGCTTCAAAAAAGAGAAAACTGAAATATAACATCAACATTTCTTCAGCAAAACATTTGAATGCATTTTATCTGGTCAGAGACCAGGGGACAACAGTGTGCTTTGGGAGAGGGGAAAGGGAAGGATAAGATGTCCTAATCGGGCTTTTACAGCACCTTGAGCCTTTATATCCACTGAGATCTTTGTCCATATCCAACTCAGGAGTGGATTCAATGATTGCCTGAACTTCTGACTTCTCTTCATTTTCAGCAGAGTCTTAGGAAAGAACAAGATAACAAAAAGAATGCATATAACACATACTGCCCCTGTTATGAAAATTGCTTCTATGGTTGTAAATACATCATTTGATCATAAAAAATTTTAAAGAGCTGATTCTAGGAAACACAAGGTTAGATAGACAATATGTCATATATTCAATTAACAGTAAATATGAGCAACTAAAAAATAACCAAAGAAAGTTTTCATTTGTGTTTCTCTGGACACAGTGCAGTGTACACCAGGCCAGAACTCACTGTTTTCCTTGTATTTAAGGGGTGAAATACAGAGAAACTAAAGACAAAGACTAATGACCTAAGGTAGGGAACAGAAAAAGAATGTCCTCCTGCCTTTCAGGCTCTCAACCCCTCAGCCACTGCCCCACCACTTTTCTCTCTAAAACTTTATTTAACCATCACATCTTAAAGCTTATTTACAATTGAATACAGTTTTATAAATCTATGGCAGTAACACCCCAGAGATGTCATATCCACATCTGGATTTATTGAATACTTTGTCAGTATGTAAATAACTAGGGTCACTTACCTGTTGATACATTTCTAGTTTCTTGCACTACCTGTACTTCAATATGCTTGCTTCTCTCTGACTTATCTGGTGTATCTGCAACCTTCACAAATCCTTCATTCTCTTCACATAAGGGAGTATCACTCGGAATTGCTGCCACATCTGAAGCAGCTGTTGATGCTGGAGTGGTAGCTTTAGATCCTCCCTGGCTAACATCAGAAAGTTCATCCTACGAATAAATATAATTAGGGAAAACATGCTGACAAGTAATTTATTTAAAACTGTCTTTTAAATGGGTTAAGAAACGTGAGAGAAAATTCTATTAAAAAACAGTAAGTCACTGATTACCAAAGGAAATCAATAAATAATCTCTGCAGATTATTTTCAAGTAATTAGGAAATATTTAAGCAATCATGTTTTTCCAGACATACATGAGATTCTTCTAAATAGAAGACCTGAAGATAAAAGTAGAGTGGCAGTATTAGCAATAAAATCCTACATTACTGTCATCGTCAGAGTTTGTAATGGCAGTCCCAATTTGTAAAATCATTTGATAATAAAGACTTGTTTCCAAACACTTAGAGCATGTACTGTGTGGTAGCTACTCTAAAACAGCAATGGAATAACAAGATTCTTAATCTCAGATACAGTTTTGTAAACAGTGTTCTTAAAACATCCTGCATCCAGGGAATTCCCTGGTGGTCTAGTGGTTAGGTCTCCGTGCTTTTACTGCCAACGGCCCGGGTTCAAGCCCTGGTCGGGGAACTAAGATCCTGCAAGCTGCAAGGCGTCACCAAAAAAAGAAAAAAATCCTGCATCCAGATCACCTGAAGTGCTTGTAAAAAGGACAGATTCTAAGTCCAAGCCCAGACTTTAGGCAGTGAGATCAGGTACTCTGCATGCTTAACAAGCAATCCAGGTCATTTATATATTATAATCATTAAAATTTTACAACTAATTCTAAGATCCACAGATAGGCTTCAAGAAGTACATGCCCAGACTGAAAATTTATGCAAACATTTATGTACAGTGAATTTTTCTAGGAAAAGAATCTACAACTTTTATCAGATTTTCAATGGGGTCTGTGACTCCAAAATAATCAAAAACAGCTGTCCAATACCTACCAATAATGAGGCAGTTCTTTACAGCAAAGTACCCAGTCTTAAAGAGAATGTGACAAAATGTTTAGTACTAGTAATGATGATGATGATGATAAGGGTGAATTTAGTGAATTTACCAAATGTATAATTTTGGATAAGTTATGTATTCTTCCTATAGCTATGTTTTCTCAGCTGTAAAACAGAGATAATGGTACCTAGTTCATTGGATTATTCTAAATTTTTCTGTATAAAGACTTAGCAGTGTATTCACACATACCAAGTATTTAAAATGTTGGCTATTTATTACAATTTATAACAATACATTATGCACAACTTTGAAAATTTTGCAATACATGCTTTTGGCCTAAGGAGAAAAAAAGAATATATAAATATATTAAATTGTGCTATGGTGGGGGATGATTATTAGTGATTTTTATTTCCCTCTTTAAAATTTTATCTTTCTTAACTTCTAAAGAACATGGTTTAAAATACATTATAGTTAAATCAACTATAGTTCAATAAAAATAAAATAAAATACATTATAGCTATAAAAATAATGGAATAGAATCCAAGCAATTAAAAATAACTAACACTATACCAATCTTACACTGTCTGAGAGATTTAGGTTATTTTAAGTGCTGAAAAGTAAGAGGGTGTTCAAGGTTAAGATTCTCTTCAAGTATAAGAAAACATTTTTTGACATATAGTCAACTTACACATGCTATGATGGACAGCAACTACAATGAAAGTAATCACACTTGGAGAACTTAACCATCGCCAAACCTCTTAGTTTTACAACATTAAAATGTTTCATCTCCATTTTCTTCTCTTAATATTTTAATTTACTATAATGCATTGTGATGTATGGCTGAACTAATATAAATCAATTACCAGATGAGAACAAAGGGCATGCAAAAGAAAATATATTTTCTATGGCAAACCGAGAGCTCTTTATCCCTTCAATAGTCCTCCCACCCACACTCTTCATCCCTATCCCAGGCTTTTGGAGGTTATTCCCCCCATATTTCTGTTTTTAATAATGAGAAATCTATAAAGTCAGACTGTGACCTAGCATGTTGTACTCACTAAGAGTTTTGAGTATCTTAGCTCTTCTGGTGGGTTTAAGCTCTAACACGTAGATAAAACCCGAATATTTGCTGAAGACCGTCATCCTAGTAAATTTTTACTAGTCTCATTTTCTGACAGTTTATACTGTACTTGGACTTTTATAATAGTTGGTCAGCTACTGATTATTTATTGCTCATCATCATTTTAAGAAACATATATATCCATGACAGATGATCCATTTAGCAAAAACAAATCTCATCTGAGACTCAGAATCTCTCAAAAGAAAAATAAAGTAGCATATCCATATTAGCATACAATACTTACTTAAAATGAATTTTCAATGACATAGGAAAATGTTATGTTAAATTGGAAAATATATATATATACTTTTAAGGAAATAATCAGAGATGAATAGAGGATGTTATATAAATAACATGTTATATAAATAACATGTTATATAAATAAACAGCAGAGAACTGAAAACAGCTTAAATGCTCCAAAACAGGAAATTAAGAAAATTATAGAACATCCATACAACAGAATACTATGCAGCAATTCGAAAAACTGTGCTGTAGAAGAATACCTACTGAGATGGAAAATGTTCACAATATTCTGCGAAGAGACTGAGGACTGAAACAGTTCTGTATAGTATAATCAACTAAGAATGGCTAGAACACTCATGGACACTCATGACAATTCTAAAAGTGGTTGCCACTGGGTAGTTTGATAATGAGTGACTTTTGCTTTTACTATGCTCTTGTTGGCACTTCTAAATATATATATTTTTAAGTAAAAGAAAATTATAATATTCAGAATATAAATCTATATATGAAGTATGGTCTCAAAAACAATTTCTATTTATTTGTTTGTTTGTATGGCTGCGTTGGGTCTTCATCACTTTATTTATTTTTTATTTATTTATTTATGGCTTCTCTTGTTATGGAGCACAGGCTCTAGGCACGTGGGCTTCAGTAGTTGCAAGCACTCGGGCTTAGTAGTTGTAGCGCACAGGCTTAGTTGCTCCACAGCATGTGGGATCTTCCCGGACCAGGGCTCGAACCCATGTCCCCTGCATTGGCAGGTGGATTCTTAACCACTGCACCACCAGGGTAGTCCCTCAAAAACAATTTCTTTAGGTATATAAAGAGACTAGACATAGTAAGTTTTACTATAACTAGATGAAATTCTCTTTTCAATTTGAAAGGTTTTTTTTGTTTGTTTGTTTTTTCTGGTATGCGGGCCTCTCACTGTTGTGGCCTTTCCCATTGCGGAGCACAGGCTCCGGACGCACAGGCTCAGCAGCCATGGCTCACGGGCAAAGCCGCTCCGCGGCATGTGGGATCTTCCCGGACCGGGGCACGAACCCGTGTCCCCTGCATCGGCAGGCGGACTCTCAATCACTGCGCCACCAGGGAAGCCCCAATTTGAAAGTTTTGAGAAAAGAAAACCATTTATACTATTTATGAGTTGGGACTATCCATTCATTATTGCCTTGTGTTTAAAATAACTTTGATTACAAATATTGCAATATTAACAATATGCTAATAAAGTCAGCTGAACTACACAGCCAACTATTTTCTTCTGTGCATCTCAAATACAGAGCTGATATCCAATGGGAAGAAAGACAAATCAAATACATTAATAGTTCAATCCTCTATCACCTCCTCCCCTGTTAAAATTAGAAGACAAAATTATTTGACTATTTCCTGGAGCTGGAGACTGGCACCTAATATAAAAGTATCTGATAAAAATTTCATCAAACTGGGCTTCCCTGGTGGTGCAGTGGTTGAGAGTCCACCCGCCGATGCACGGGACACGGGACACAGGTGCCCCAGTCTGGGAAGACCCCACATACTGCAGAGCGGCTGGGCCCGTGAGCCATGGCCGCTGAGCCTGCGCGTCCGGAGCCTGTGCTCCGCAACGGGAGAGGCCACAAGAGTGAGAGGCCCGTGTACCGAAATAAAAAAAAAAAAAAATTTCATCAAGCAAATTAGCTTGTCAGAAGTTGAGTCTGGAAAACTGACAATAATATTTCTGGAGCCAAAGAGGACTATAGTGAAAACAACTAGAAGTCACCCTGAGTACCACTTTTTGGTCTTTGTTTTGATGTGTACTCTATTTAACAGAAAAAATAGAAGTGGCACTATTTTGGTTAATCTACCAGCCTGGCTAATTCACATTTATGTTATCATATACATGAACTCCCAAGCTTTAAAAGTTTAAAATATAAAGTACATTTAAAAATTAATATAAAGAGTCCAGGTTCTGATGAAGTATTGATGGACAGCGCTTAAACCCATCAAAACTATGGATTCAGAAAGCCCTAGAGAATATCAAGTTCATCTACAATGAGAAACTTATATGCCTTTGAAGTTATTTGAAAAATAACTGGAGGTTGATCTTGACCTTGTCATTTCCATTTATCTCTCAAATAAAAGTCAAGTAGAGAAATTATTTCCTCTTCCTTCATATCACCCTACCCCACAAGGTCTAGCTATTTTTACCTTTAAGAACATTATGTAGTAATTTAAAAGTTCACAATATAAACAGCTTGGCAAAAGCCCTCTTCCCCAAAATCATTTGTGGATCTGGGAGTATGAAATAAAGTAACCAGAAGAGAGCTGAACCTAAAACAGGAAAAGGACTCTGACACTTCAGGGGATCTCAAGATTAAGGGCTACAAGGAAGTGGTAAATTAGGATCTGCTTAGAAGATGATATTTTAAAATGCTATCCAAATAACATGAGATTATTGATCTGTAACTCACTTCCCTTTTATACTTTTACCACATAAAAATATTTTACACACATTAAAATAGCTCACAGTGTGGGCTGTACTTCTGACAGCTGGATCCCAGGGACAGACCGTGAGAGCTGAAGAGGGAAAAGCTCTGAATTTTAGGGAATAGTTTTCAAAAGACGTATTTCTCCTTGGCCTCCCAGATAGTGGAGACATAAAGCTCCCAAGATTAGCAGGAAAGCAATGAGGTGGGAAGTCTCTGTCATGTGTTTGGCCAAGGGCACAATATTCTTATATTGTATCTCCTATGGAAGAAATTATGAAATTCTGTCACTAACAATGCCTCCAACTAAAGATAGAAGGAAAAAAGACAAACCTAAATATCAGCCGGCTAAAAGATAAAATGTATCACTTTTGGTCACCAATAAGTTCATATGATACCAGGTACAAAATGAGGGAAAATGTTTTACTAGGGCCTAAATGGAAACTGGAAGCACTTACATTTACTCAACATAAGGTTCTAGGGGAGCTGCATGCTGTGGTTTCGCATTCAATCTGTGACTTCCGGAGACTTCTAATTCCTATGTTAGGCTGGTCATAGGCCAGGTGTACTGTTTTGGCTAATAGTTTTGACTACAAATTGCTGCTTAATTTATCTGAAGACCACTGGCCTATCAATTTCAATTGCCTGATGGCATTAAGATATCCTCTGCAATGACACAGGTGGGTGCCAAAAATGGAGACTTACCAGGTGATCAAGTCTCTTTCTGATAAACGTTATTTGTTTTGTAACCCCATTCCCACTCTTTCAGTCTTTAAGAAACTCTTACATTGTAGGCTTTCATGTCACTGGAAAATGCCCACAAAAACGAGCAACCTGACTTGGGGTTCCAGTGTTATAACTATAAAGGAATGGCGCTCTTGTGCAACAAAACAAAATAACAAGTGCTGGTGAGATGTGAAGAAATTAGGACACTTGTGTACTGTTGGTGGGGTTGTAAAATGGTGCAACTGCTATGAAAACAGTATGGAGTTTCCTCATAAAATTAAAAATAGAACTACCACATGATCCAGCACTACCCCTTCCGGGTATAAAACCAAAAGATTTGAAAATAGGGATTCAAAGAGATATCTGTATACCCATGTTCACAACAGCACTATTCATAGTAGCCAAGAGGTAGAAGCGACCCAAATGTCCATTGAGGGATGAAATGGATAAACAAAATGTGGTATATGTATACAATGGAATATTATTCAGCCCTAAAAAGGAAGGAAATCCTGTCACATGCTACAACATGGATGAACCTTGAGGACATTATGCTAAGTCAAATAAGCCAGTCACAAAAGGACAACTACTGCATGATTCCACTTATATGAGGTAGCTAAAGTGGTCAAATTCATAGAAACACTAAGTAGAGTGGTAGTTGCCAGGACTGAGGGGAGAGGGGAAAGGGGAGTTGTTGTTTAATGGGTATAGAGCTTCAGATGTGCAAGACAAAAAAGTTCTAGAGATCTGTTTCACAACAATGTGAATACTGTTATCACTACAGAACTGTATACTTAAAAGTGGTTAAGATAGTAAATTTTATGTTATACGTTTTGTATCACACAAAAAAACAGAACAGGTGTCATTACTTTTAGCTTCACTTGAGATACCACAGTGAAAACAATATGGTCTTTGCGCTATTTTCCTACTGGTTTTAGATTATCAGGCTAAAAGTCTATAGGCCTTTACAAGATACTTTCAGATGTTCCATTCATCAAATGCCTCCTGTACCCAGTGCTGTATAGAATACATATGTCATGTGTTATCTGGCATTGCCCCATTACTATTTATGTTCAGAAAGACTATAAAGTAAGTTCACAACTATAAAAATAAATTATCCCACTAAGGACAACTTAGAAATGTTCCAATACAGTGTTTTCCTAAGTAGCCGCCTGATTTCATCTGAAATAAGTTCTAAAAGGGGGGCAAGCAACTCTGCTACATAAGTTTGTCTTTAGCTTCAAAGATTTTAAGCCTCATGTAAGTAAGAGACAAAATTACAGAAAGTAACTAGCCCAATGGATACCCACTATAACACTTATCACCTTATATTTAATTTCTATGTTTACATTTCTTTCTCCCCAAGTTAAAGTTGTGTCCAAAGCAGTAGTTTTGACACTCTTTTAATTTACAACTACACCATAAGAGAACCACAAAATTCTGTGTATACAAGTATTTTATGGAGAGCTTCGTATGTTTAATTTGATTCCTAGAGGAGTCTGTGACCCAAAGAAACACTGAGAAGCATGATTCTAGACACATTTAGGTGAAATAAGTCTGGATGTAAATTATACTGTAGGTTCAAAAAAATTTAGAAGGCACGGGTGACCTACCTCTGAAGGTATTTCTGAAAAAGACACTGTTCCACTGTCACGGACCTGCTGAAGGCCTTACCCTGGTTAACCCTGACCTAGTAGGTAGGAGAAAGTCTTATTTTGTCTTTATATCCCCAGGGCCTAGCATATCAAGCCTGACATGAAGTAGGCTCTCAAAAGATGTTTGCTGAATGAAGCTGAATGGTGCCCTGACTGGGGCTGAACAAATCTGTTTAAATAGGGAGGCAGCCCATGGTAAAATGACATACTAGGCTGTCTCCAGGATACATACAAGTTACGTACATTCTGCCCTGAGGAAGGTATTTGTGCAAAGCATACAAGTTTTCTTACCTAGAGCTGGATAAATAGAAATAGGCTGAATTTCCACAGGATTTACTTATTATTCTCTCCTTTATTTCAAAATGCTGACTTTAGAGAGGAGTAAATTACAGATTACAGTAAAGCCCTAGCAACCACTGTAGAAGAAATAATTTTCTTTTTTATTTCAGGGAATAACATCAGCAGTCTTCCAAATTGAGCACTTGATGTCCTGAAGATAGCAGCTGAGAAAGTACCCAAAAGTTAATCACTTTCATTTACTTTTTACGAAACGTTTTGAAACCCCATTCTCACCTCCTGTTCTATAGCCTTCAGAGGTTCAGGACTACTGCTGACCTAAGAAGAGGGAAAGATTATAAAAGAGAAAAAAAAAAAATCATGTATTTACTAGGCGTTAGCATATTTCTAAGTATCTTTGGCTTGTGCTACCTCTCAGAATAACAAGATCCATCTCTTTTATCTACTTTGTTAAAATGAGGGTTTGGGGGTTTTGTTTTGTTTTGACTTAAAATAACCTCCTTTAAGCCTCTTTTTTAAGCCATCTCATGACTCAAAAGCCACCTCTTGGGTCTTGTCTTACCTTATACTTTGTCAATAAGCAGCTTATCACTTAACCCTTTTTTCTATTCACACAGCTGTGTGAAATCTTCCTGAAATTTATCCTAATCATCTTGAGTAATTAACAGAATAAATATTCCAGTTTAGCCTCTACTTGGAAACATTAACCACACTCTTCTTCCCCCCCCCCCCATTTCTGAAACTGTTAAGAGAACACTTCCCCCCCCCCCCCCCCATTTCTGAAACTGTTAAGAGAACACTAACAATCGAAGGGTAAACAAGATTCAAGTCCTTTTTCACAAAAACATCTGTTTACTCATATTCTTCATTTCTATCTGTACATTTGCCCTCTTTGAGACAAAAGTGTTTTTCTTAAACACAAAGCAACTTCAAGTTTTAAATATTCTTAGTCTGGAAATCCATCAAAGTCTTTTGAAAAGTCTAAAATACAGCTCTCCTAGCTCTCTGTTAATTCCCACAAAAAAACCCACAGATGAGCAAAGCATGGTTCACTTTTTTCTTTTTTTTTTTAATTGAAATATAATTGACTTACAATACTATACTAGTTCCAGGTGTACTGCATAGTGGTTTGATGTTTTTAGACATTACAAAATGATCACCACGATAAGTCTAAGTACCATCTGTCATCATACACAGTTAATTCAATATTATTGACTATTATTGACTATATTCCCTATGCTGTACATTACATTCCTTTGACTTCTTTATTTCATGAATGTAAGTTTGTACCTCTTAATCTCCCTCACCTATTTCACTCATCACCTCATGCCCCCTCCCCTCTGGCAACTACCAATTTGTTCTCTGTACCTATGAGTCTGTTTCTGTTTTGTTATGTCTGTTCATTTTGTTATGCCTGTTCGTTTTGTTTTTTGAGGGTCCACATATAAGTGAAATCACATGATATTTGTCTTTCTCTGTCTGACTTTTCTCACTTAGCATAATACCCTCTAGGTCCATCCATGTTGTCACAAATGGCAAGATTTCATTCTGTTATACAGTTGGATGATATTCCATTTAATCTATAGCATGATTTACTTTATACAAACCAGAATGCCTCTCCCTTAATATCTGTTTACATGATCTTTGATTCTGGATTCTCATCTTCAACTTTTCTCAACTATCATTTCATCAAAAGCTAGGTAAATAACTCTCTAAATAAAAATGAAAAGATTGTGAACATAACACTTTAAAATGAAAACCAAAAAGCAAGCTGCAGGAAATACTTAGAGCATAAACCCATTTATCGTTTTGGGGTTTTTTTTAAGTTTTTTTTTTTTTTTTTTGATGTGGACCATTTTTAAAGTCTTTATTGAATTTGTTACAATATTGCTTCTGGGTTTTTTTGGTTTGGTTTTTTTGGCCACAAGGCATGTGGGACCTTAGCTCTCCGAACAAGGATCAAACTGGCACCCGCTGCATTAGAAGGCTAAGTCTTAACCACCTGGACTAAGTCCCTAAAACCATTTATCTTATGAAGACATATATGAGTATGTATTATCTGTGTACATATATAAAGAAAAGGGTATGAATGATATACCAACTATTCACAATGACTGAGGCAAAGGAATGGAATTTAGAGTTGGACAACTATACATTTTTACTCTAGATTTTCGATATTATTTGATTGTGAAACATTATTAATATGACTTTAAAAAAATTATTAAGCCTACTTCCTAAAATATTTGGACTCTGAGCAACTTTACAACATTTCTAGCATCTGGCATTGTGTGTGACCTGGTAGGCATCAAAATTTTTTAATGCAAAAAGCAAGGTAATTTTTCTTCAACAGGAAATACTTAGAGCTATTTTTCTTATTCTAAGAGTTTGTTTAAACATTAACTATCAATAGTAATAAACACTCATGTGCCAATTACTTCAAAAAAAAGTCACATTAGAAACATAAGCTTTAAATACCATCTTTTTAAATAGTGTTGTTTATTTGGAGTTTACCATTTTTCATTCTCAACATACACTAGCATCTTGGTCAATAAACAACACAATAAATATGCCAAAAAGAGGAAAAAAATCTCATTGATTAACACCCACTAAGAAAGAACTAATTCCACTGCCTCTTCTCTAAGCAAGAGTTTAAAAGGGGAGAAAGTATGTATCTTATAATTTTGTCAGTTACACCTCAATAAAAATGAATGGGCAAGTACCAAAATATTAAGAAGAGTAAATCTTAACTCCCTTTTCCCTTCAAACTGCAACTGTCAGCTGTGGATGATTCCTGAAGTTATCTAATGAGGATACATGTGAGTGGGAAAGTTTGTAAATAAAAATTGAAGTTATAGAAGAAATTCCTTACCCTCTGTCCCAAGCAAAACCAACCTGAAATATCACAACATATAATCCATTTTTCTTAAAATTCTATTTTTATTTTACCCTACTGTGAACACTAATATAAACATCCAAAAGGAGATAATGTATACTATAAACTAATGGGAAAACCCAACATAAGCATCAACAGAAGAAAGGGCCTAGAAGCAATCACATTCCAACCAGTAAGCACATTTAGTGCCTAGATCTTGGTTCCTAAATACCATTCTACAATAAACAGAACCAAGGCTTCTTGGAGAAGCACTTGATTGCACAGCAGGGGCAGGGAAAATGCAAGAGCCTGGAGCATCTGATGGTGTCAGGAAGGAAGGACTCAAAAGAGTATGGGCATGTCGAAAGGGTGTAGGATGACTCCTGAAAGAGCTCCTGATGTCCAAGGCTGAAACACTCTGAGCAACAAAATAAACAGTAATGGGACTTCCCTGGTGGTGCAGTGGTTAAGAATCCGCCTGTCAATGCAGGGGACACAGGTTCGATCCCTGGTCTGGGAAGGTCCCACATGCCGGAGAGAAACTAAGCCTGTGCGCCACAACTACTGAGCCTGCACTCTGGAGCCCACGAGCCACAAATACTGAGCCCGTGCACCACAACTACTGAAGCTTGCACACCTAGAGCCAGTGCTGCACAGCAAGAGAAGCCACCGCAATGCGAAGCCTCACACCGCAAGGACGAGTAGGCCCCGCTCGCCACAACTAGAGAAAGCCCACGTGCAGCAATGAAGACCCAAAGCAGCCTAAATAAATAGTAATAGCATTGGATAACCTACAGAACAAAATAATACCTTTGAGTTCAAATATGAAGGAAAGAAGGGAGGGAGTGAGCAGCTCTCCCTCCCCAAAGAATTACAGTTAATGAATGTAGGATGAAGAAAATAGAAAATAAGCATTACAACACCACAGTAATAATTATTGTAGGTAAGATTCACTGATGCACATTAAAATCAGTAAATGAAAGTTTGAGGAGAAGCAGGATATTGGCTCAGTCTCAAAATATATCCACCAAGATATTAATTAAATTATAAACAGAAAAACAGTAACTTTACAGTGAAGAAATCCAACACACACCCGCTGAACCAAGCAATCGAGGTTAACATCACCACTACGGCATTCTACAGTATTCTTGCCAAAAATATACAGCCTCAATCTAATCATAAGAAATCATCAGAGAAGCCCAAATTGAGAGATATTTTACAAAATAACTAACCAGTACTCTTTAAGCCTGGAGGTCATGAAAGACAAGGAAAGGCTGAGAAACCGTCAAATGTTAGAAGAGACTGAGGAAACATAACTCAGTGCAATGTGGGATCCTGGATTGCATCCTGGAACTGAAAAAGAACAGTAGTGGGAAAATTGGCAAAATCTGAATACAAGTCTGTAGTTCAGCTAATAGTATTGCACCAATGTTAATTTCTTAGTTTTGATAATCTTACCATGGTTAGTTAACATACCAATGTTGGGTGGGTGATGTACTATTTTTGAAACTTTTCTATAAGTCTAAAATGTTTTCAAAATGAAAAGTTAAAAACAAAACAAACCAAGAGCTTTAACTGTTTTGAAATTTAAAATCACACATGTGTTTTACAACAGGATCTTTAATCACAAAAGACACAGGAATAAGGTTTAACTACTATAGAGATTCAAGCTTGGTAAAACTAAAGAAATAGGAACAATTTAACACAAATGGAGGAGGATGGAAAATTCTTCTAAACAATAATGCTGGCTCTGTTCAGAAATTTTCCATTCTGCATGCTAAGCACGTCCCCTGACGAATGCAGCACACATTGACCACTGGCTTTATATACCAAACCCTGCTAACAAGACCTTCTCACAGCAGTTCCACTGAAGTATTTCAAGTCATGTGGTTTCAAAAGTACTCTTTAAAACTTTCACAAGTAGGTATCAATCCAATTGCTTTTTAGCTAAAAGTGTTTTTCTCAGGTCTAAAAGTCACATTCTACTAATAACCAACAACCCAGGAGACTCTAAAGGAAAAAATAATACATTTTTGGAGTATATATACATATGTGTATACTCACACACGTCTTTAGGCATGCGCAGGTGCATATACATGCATAGGTGTATATATACATATATATGTGTACATGTGAAACTAGATGGAATCTATGAAATCATTGCCAAAGTGATACTACCCAAGGTCTAGAAAACAGCATGAAAATTTTATGTGTAGGATATTTTAAATGATATTTAAAACACTTTGTTCTCTTTCTATATTTGGGCACAAGGGAGAGATATCTGAACTCTAAACTTGTAAAGCAATGAAGAACTTATACAACATAGCTGGTGAGAATACAAACAGCTACCATCCCTTTGGCAGGCAATTTGGTGATATCTAGCAAAATCTTAAATACATGCTTTAATCCAGCAAACCCACTTATGGGAATTATAAATACAAGTACAAAATTATGTACAAGGTTATTCAATGCAGCATTGCTTGTAATAGCAAAAGATGAGGAAAAACTGAGATGTCCTGTCAATAAAGTAGATTTTAATGGCAGATGGGATATGTGATCCCTTTCCTCTGGCCCTTCCTCAATAATTCTGATGTATCAATTTTTTTCTATCGGACTCCTCTTCTAAGCACCCAACCCAGTCTCGCGCCTTCTAAGAGTATTTTTCCCTTCACCCTGCCAACTGAAAACATCTTTTCACTGTCCTCCCACCACAACCACCTTTCTTGAGTAATATACACTTTCTATTTCCTCCTTCGTGAATATAATTCATTTGGATGAACAACCTTACCTTAACATTTTTGCCCATTTCCACCCTAGCATTTTTATAATACATTTTCAACAGAAAATGTCATTTAACATAAGAAGTTCCTTTTTACCAATTTTGCTAGTAGCCCCCCATTAAGAAATTTCTGTTAATGATACAATATAAAACTCCTCTGCTTTCTGCCTTAAACTGATCTCTAAACTCGATTTGAGGACCATTAAAAGGTGTCAGGTGAAGCTTCATGTAAGCTGTGCCATTTAGATTGGCCTTGAAAGAATACTTCTACTGGTAGTAACCTAAGCAGGATACAAATATGTATGTGGGAAAACTATATAGAAAAGCAATAGGATGCACAGGTGTGGAGTTCAGGAAAGGGGTCAAGGTCAGAAATTCAAACTTGTGAACACTGATGGGTGGATGGTATTTACAGACATGAAACTTGAGCTACCCACATTAAGTAGAGGAGGGGACTGAAATTTAAGCCCTAGAGAACTACAACATTTAGAGGTGCAAAAGCAGCAATGGAAAAGGACCTGTGAAGAAAACCAGAGAGAGAGGGAGGGGGGAGATGGCAGACAGAGGGAAAGGGGGAGGGGGAGGGGGGAGGGGAGAGAAAGAAAGAGAAAGAGAAAGAGAAGAAAGAGAAAGAGAGAAGTATCCTGGGAGCCAAGTGAAGAAAGCATTTCAAGAAGCAGAAAGTGGGCATTCCCTGGTGGCGCAGTGGTTAAGAATCCACCTGCCAATGCAGGGTCACAGGTTCGAGCCCTGGTCCAGGAGGATCCCACATGCCACGGAGCAACTAAGCCTGTGCGCCACAACTACTGAGCCTGCACTCTAGAGCCCACGAGCCACAACTACTGAGCCCGTGTGTCACAACTACTGAAGCCCATGTGCCTAGAGCCCGTGCTCTACAACGAGAAGCCACCGCAATGAGAAGCCTGTGCACCGCAACGAAGAGTAGCCCCTGCTCACCACAACTAGAGAAAGCCTGCACGCAGCAACAAAGACCCAACGCAGCCAAAAATAAAATAAATTTTTTTACAAAAGAATGATAAAAAACAATTAAAAAATAAAATCAGAAGAAAACTAAGTTGGAAAGACAAATTTTATTTAAAAAAAAAGCAGAAAGTATTCAAATGTGTCAAATGCTGCCACAAGGCAAGATGGGAATGAGAATTTTCCATCACACTATTTATTTATTTATTATTTATGGCTGTGTTGGGTCTTGGTTGCTGTGTGCAGGCTTTCTATAGTTGCGGCGAGCAGGGGCTACTCTTCGTGTGGTATGCAGGCTTCTCATTGTGGTGGCTTCTCTTGTTGTGGATCACGGCCTCTAGGCATGCAGGCTTCAGTAGTTGTGGCACGAGGTCTCAGTAGCTGTGGCTCACAGGCTTAGTTGCTCTGCAGCATGTGGGATCTTCCTGGACCAGGGATCGAACCCGTGTCCCCTGCAATGGCAGGGAAATTCTTAACCACTGTGCCACCAGGGAAGTCCCCATCATACTATTTAGAGAGATGGATATTTTGGGTAACTGTGAAAAAAGGCACATTGGTGCAGTAGGTAGCACTGAAGTCTCAGAGGAATGGGATGAAGAGGAAAAAAAACATTCTTCAAACACACCAAAGTCTGTCCCCACCTCGGGGTCTTTACAGATGCTAGTTGATCGTCCTGAAACACACAGTCCTCTGGACCTTTCCATGCACCCGTACCTCCTTCATTTCAGGGCACAAGTCACCACCTCCAAGAGGCCTTCCTTCACCACTCTAAAATAAGCACTCCTCCTTACTAATCACTCTCTAGCCCCTTACTTAGCTTTTTAAAAATAGTACACAACACTACTTGAAATTCCGTGATTTCATTTATTTGTTTGTTGATTTCCCCCACAAAAATACAATAAGTAAAGGAATAATATGTACAAATACTTCTTTCTATGAACAACTTGTATATTTTTCTAGGTGCATGAGTCCTGGCAGATTTTCCAGTACAGCTGTCCCTTGGTATCTACAGGGGATTGTTCCAGGACTCCCTGTGCATACCGAAATCTAGATGCTCAAGTCCCTTATATAAAATAGTATAGTATACCTGCAGATTTCAGGTATACTATATAGGACTGGATTAAATAACAATCTTCTCTTTAAGGTATCTTTTTGGATAGTAGTTAAAATACAGTTACCATATGGTATACATTTTTGATGTCCCAGAAGTATCCCTGCTACTTAATTTTGTTTTGGGAAAGGGACATGGCAAGTGGGCGATTGAGAGCTGGGTGTTTTGGAAGACCTATTAAACCAACAGGCAGGCTAAAAAAGTCAGTGTGGCCATAGGGGTAAGAATGAGAAAACTTCCTAGTGGCATCACTGTGGACTGATACTGAGCAGCTGCATAATTACCTTCTAATAAAGTGAGCAAAAAAGAAAGGAGAATGAGAAAAAGGTGAGGTTAGGCCTACTGTTAAAAATACTTTTCAGGGAGAGCAAAGCTATGAAATATTTATTGACTGTTTACTGTTTTGAGCACATTTCAGAGGTCAATGGAATGATTCTAAATGCCTCTACCTACTAGAGCTGAAAAACAGACCATTTATATTATCTTCAAAAGAGTCTTTCTAACATCTAAAACAAATAATTCATTTGACAGACATGTTCTGAGTGACGATTATGTGCTAGACACCTTTTCTAAGTGCTAGGGATAAAGCACTAAACAAACAGCATGGATTTGGAGAGAAACAAAGTAAATAAGTAAATGACTTCGTAATTTAGAAGTATCATAAGAGCTATCTATATAAGTACTTAAACCATGATAAGTAATTTGGAGAAAAAGAGACCAGAAAAAGGAGATAAAGACGTAAGTAACTCACCTGTATACATTGTAGGTGGCCTGTTTGTTTTCTGACAGAGTAGATTTTCTAATGTAACAAGGTTCCTTTATAATCAGTGTTCCCTTTATAAATATTGCACTTTATAAGATACACACTATAACTTCAATTATTTTCAATTATTAGTATATCTCCACTCTTAGAATATATTATTATTTATATTTATAACTTATTTGGTGACAAGATCTTGGTCAAGAACATAATCTATAATGAACTAACACCAGGCCTTTTTAGCTAAACACAATGCACTTTTGGATATTGCTTTATGAAGGTTTTGAGGAAAGTATCATGGGGTTTTTTTTGTTTTTTTTTTTAAGTGAAGCCCTACTAAATTGTGAAGCTTCCTAACAGTGAACCAAGGATTTCAGGTGGCAATAATTTTCAATTCTAAAAAACATAATTAGGTTCACTGGTCACCCCATCCTAAATTCATATAATGTAAATCAAATAGAAATAGCCTAAATCAAATAGAAATGTTGGTCATTAGTATGACAACCAAGATGTAACAAAGCTTGACTTTGTTTTCCTATATAACTTGAAAAAGCATAACAAAAAACTAAAATTCTTGGGAAGAGCTCATTTCCAATTTAAAAAAAGCATCTGTTTTACGAACTAAAAATGTGTACATACTATTTCATTTTATTATGTTCTGGATGTCTAGCACTTCAATTTGGATAAGAAAGCTTATAAAACATAAATTGAAGGTTTTCACAGAATAAAGCTTACCTTCAGGCTGGTATGAGAACGTGGTTGACTTAACTCCTGAAATTTCCATTGCTCTGATCCAGGGGTCTCGCCACCTTTCTGAGTGTCAGGTGTAAGCAATCCATCTCCAGCAGGTAATGGGAAAATCCCTAATGATATAGGGCGTTCTTTTCTATTTGGAGAGGGGAGAAAAATTAAGCATTAATTCGTTTTCAACTGTTATTCATCATGACTGTAAGTAATAAGGCTGGGCTGTCACTGCTTCAGAATTATCACTCTTAAATTATTCTGTCTGCCTATCTGAACAAGCAGACTTACCAAAGAGAAAGGACAGTCTCAGAAGCTAAATTAGCCCCAGGGAATCAACTAAGAAAGGTAGTAAAATATAGTTTAGGAAATCTTATTAGGTTACTGATGAGTCCCCTTACCCCAACTCCTGCTTCTAGACTTCCCAATTCCTCGTGTTAATCCCTAGATATTTACCATGCCTCTTCAGGGTATCTCTTCTCTGCCTAGAGGAAAATCAATATATGGTCTAAATCAGGGCTACTGATTAAATGGTAAAAAGAACATGTGGACCAAAAAAATGTTGCCTGCCATTTCAGTAAACAAACAACGTTGCCTGCCATTCAGCCATCAGCCACTGCAGCCAGCCCTGATGGAGGGCCCTGAAGGGAATTCAGGATGGAGAAAAACAGTATACTGACCCTAGATAGTTAAGAGGCATATCAAAGGAATAATTTCAATGAGCCCAGACTCCTGCATGTTCCCATACATAGAAAAGCATTAAAATCATTAACTTGAGATGTCTGTCTTTTGTGATTAGCAGAAATCTTTTGATGTTCCACTATATGTTGTTTTTTATCTATTTATTTATTTTTCTCAGCAAAAACTCCTATATATCCTGGTTCCTCCCTTTGCTGGTTTGGGATGGTTCCTCAGAGCTATCTGAGAGGCTGCCCTGCTGGGCTATAGTCCTTAGTAATGTCTCTGAATAAAACATTAATTCTCAACTTTTCCACCACATTATGTATGAGAAAACAATTGTCAGTTTCTCCAAACAAGGAGGCCAAAAAATTCTATGAAAGACTGTAGAGTTTCCAGTGCTTTGTGGGAAATTCCAGTGAACAAGAGTTTCAATTTTAATAATAGAATTTTAACAAGAAACACATCCTTTGTTAATGCAAAGGACTTTTAGAGGGTAGAAATAAGCCTGGGTCATCCTGGGTCATTAACTCAAATGGAAATTAGCAAGCAATGAGACACCAAAGGTTTGGAGCTTCTAGGAACCATAGTGCAGCTGGTAAAAAAATGTAAGTTAGAACAGAAACACTGAGGTTATAAATAAATGTTGGAAAATATTCAGTTTTTCTAAATAAGTATGCTGTAAGCTTATTTTCATACCAAGAAACTTAAGCCACTTTTGAAATGTGCCCTCACTGAACGCAAAGGGTACACTGCTTTCATTCCTAGTGACAATCAGAAAGGATTAGTACAACTGTCAAACACCTCCTTGAAGATCAGGTGAAGCAAAAGGGTTGAGAGACTGCATTTTATTAAAGTTGTAGGCACAAGGAAATAGAACAGGACTTTTCTCTATCAAGAGTTAATTATTTATAACTTCTTCACACTCGGGGTACTTTTCCTATTTGATTTGGGAGGAAAATTCAAACGCATGTAGGCAGCATAATAAAAGGCTAGATTTTAAAACCAAATCTAAGTTTGTCTCCACGACCTGCCAGAACAACCAAATAACAAAGTAGTCAGCTATTCTTTATACCAGTTACTCCCAAATGCTGGTTCAGCAAGAAAGTTGTCATTAAGTCCACAGCGAAGAGGCATTATTTATTATATCCTTACTGGATAATACAGAACACGTTATACACATACATGCTTCCACATATCATAGAACCTGTTCTTTCTTTCTTTTTTTTTTTGTGTGTGTGTGTGTGTGTGTGTGTGTTTTTTGTGGTACGCGGGCCTCTCACTGTCGTGGCCTCTCCCGTTGCAGAGCACAGGCTCCGGACGCGCAGGCTCAGCGGCCATGGCTCACGGGCCCAGCCGCTCCGCGGCACGTGGGATCCTCCCAGACCGGGGCACGAACTCGTGTCGCCTGCATCGGCAGGCGGACTCTCAACCACTGCGCCACCAGGGAAGCCCGAACCTGTTCTTTCTTGAGAATGATTCACCCCTTTGCCACATCTTTTCTGCTTGATTTTAAAATGCCCTTTATTTCACCAAAGGATGGTGACAACGATGGGAAGGAAATTTTGGGTGGGGAACGTATTTTGGGAACTGAAAATCTAAGGGTCTAAGAGCTACTAGATTACTTATTGTTTTTTAACATATCTTAATGACTTTAGCAAAAAGTGACCAGGAATTTAATCAGATGGAAGTTAATGGAAGGCTCTCTAACCCCAAGTGCAAAGAAAGACAATACAAACTTCATTCGAATTCATCACACTAGCAACAGAAATCAAAATACAGGCCAGTCATGAGAATTATCTTCCTTTATGAATTACAACACAATCATTTTCACACATGTTAAATACTGGAAAAGCTGGGGGACGGAGTCGGCTGTGGGTCCAAGTTTGACTTTCCTACTCCTGTTAAATACTACATCTACAACCCAAACTATAAGCAGAGCTCAAACCTCTGTACTGCTTATATTTATCTTTCAGAAACTGCTTGACAAGGAGGGAATTTTTCTTCAGAGACCGATAGCTGTCAAGAGGGTTAATGATGCTCTAGTTTACACTGTTCCAACTCTGGAAAAATTGTATTACTACACACATCTTTCCTCTCCTTTTTTTTACTGATAAACTACGTAAGACTTGGCGGGGAGGGAGAAGGACATGTAATTATGCACATTAAGTAGAGTCCTATTTTCAAAAGGAAACCCTGAAAAGTGAACATTAGTCCTGTACTATATTGGTATGCATGTTTGATACCCTATATATTAAACGCTTCAGTAAAACTCACAAAAGAAACCAAAGAATGAAATACATGTGGGAAAATATCAAGTGGCAGATTTAAACCCCAGGCGTTTCAACAATGCGTTACTATCTAGAAACAAAGCTATCATCAGCTATCAGAATCCTTGTTACATATTTTTAAAAACTGCCATATATCCATTTTTAAATTGGTTATTTAAATGTTATCTTAGGTGCATAAATAACTTTGCAAATATGTTTTGAAACAGCTTTATTATTCCCATTTAAAACAAATAATAATTAATAAAATCTACTGTACATATTATAAAGAGCAGTAAAAAGATTACATTTGTTCAACACCCACCATGTGGCAAGCACTCAGATGGATGATTTATTTACATTATCTCATTTAATCCTCATAAGGAAATAGGAATTATTTTCCCTGATTTCAGATAAGGAAAAGTGACACTTAGAGACTTTAGGCACTAGTAATCAGCAGAAATGGGATTCAAAGTCAGGCCTGTTTTGACTTCAAGACCCATGTACTTTCCTTGGAGCTACCTACTTCTTGACAATTTAATCTTAATATTAAAGACTGAATATGGAAGACTTTCTTCAATCAGATCAACAGCAACTTTTATGTCAAGGAACTTTTTGAATTTAATCATAAGTTATTTTATGAATAAAACAGCTAGAGCTAAAATAGTTTTGCTAAAAATGTAGTAGATATAAGTGACTATGAAAATTATTTACTTGTTTAATTTACAATACATCTTGCGAGTGACTGAATACAAAATAATCATCTCACGTGTTTTTTAAAACGACCCAATGGGGTAAGAACCTCAGAGGAGGAAACTCTGGCACAGAGAGTAAGCACCTTGCCAAAGGCCCCACAGCTAGCATGTGGAGAGCGTTTGTAGCCAGGCGTTTGTAGCCAGGCAGTCTGACTCCAAACCTCTCACCCACTGCACAGCACTGCATGGCACAGTACAGCACTGCATGGCACAGCACTGCACTGCATGGCACAGCACAGCACTGGCATCTTAAATGGAACGGAAACCTAAGCCAGCCCTTTAAGACTAATCTTATTTTAATAGTCTAAATATTCTTGAGTCAAGGTATTTTTCAATTTCCTAAAAGCCTATATATACATACATACAAATCCTTTATGTATTAAAATATACACAAGTAGTAAGATTTGCTCCTGATTTTTATAAAATCAGGGGGAAAAAAAAATGACCAAGTACCTAGTTTTAAGACCACAGTTGAAATTTAATTTTTGGACCTTAAACTAATGTTGAACATGAATGGACCTATGAATAAAAAAAGAACACATTGAGGGAATTTACTATTTTAATTCACCTTACTTTAAGTCCACAATTAGGAGTTGAGTTTTAAGTAAACACTTATAAAAAGCTATACACTATGAACCCTCATTTAAAACGATGCACAAAGCAAAAATCTCAACAAATCAATTTTAGTTTGATGAGTTAGAAAACAAAAGAAACCAAAACATTAAATCTCTAAACTATAGAAGATGGTTCTTAGAGCGTGCAAGTAGAGTGAAGAGCAGAAAAGCTACAGAGATTAATGACTACCCCGCACAAGCGGGCATGGATATTTGTCATCCAAGTCTACAAAGAAAAGGCAACATCTGACAAAACAATAGTGAATAGGCTCTGTACAGCTTTCATAACTTTGATGTGTAAATAATTGGGGGAAAAAAATGAATTCCTTGCCCTAAAAGGTTTAAATCCTTTTGCTTTAAAATATATTTTGTTTTAGAAAGAAAATATTTAAGTTGTCAGTTCCCATGAGCTGCTATCAAAAATTGCAAAAACTGTAAAAAGGATGCCTGAACCTCCATCAGTCAAAGGATAGTTGGAACAAAATAAACACCTATGGCCTGTGCCTAATCAACTTCAAGTCCCACCATAAAAGATTATTTGCTCCTAAATACTCAGATACTAAACGAAGAGACTGTGCAAATTTAGACCCAATGCTCGACTCCTGCTCTCCCTTTACTCTTTGAACACTTAAAACAAGACCACACTGATCTTGTACTCGTGTATAAGTACAATCTGAAAATCTTTTTCTTAAGTCGGTGCTTTCCAAACACCAAGCTGTATCCCTAAGTGACAGCCCATAAATTACTATAAATAAGAAATGAAATCTCAGCTTCAATCCATTTTCCATTGTTTCAGTCTGCAACAGAAATGGTTACAAGGAAGATCCGTGAAGCTAAAAATTCAAGAAAAACCAACTAAACAGGGACTTCTAAGAGAGACTAAAGTACCTGAGTATCCTTGGTAGGTTCTGCGTCAGAGCTGGCACTCCGGTAGAAATAGAAAAGTGCACAAGCAGCAAAACAGAGAGAGACACTAAGATAGCAGAATTAATGACCACCGCCCCGCCAACAAAGCCAAACACAAACAGCAGCATGCATCCAGGACTCATGGCGCTGTGCTGGCATGGTGAAACACCGGAACCAGGAGGCCTACACGGGGGCCAAAGGGGTATCTTTGTAGTGAGGATCTGTCATTCAGCTGCTGCCACAAAAACAATGCCATCAGCAGCAGCTTTCCACTCCATCCTGCAGCAGCTCCGAAGCGATGACGTCATCCCGCTCTCCCCACCTCATAACCATAGAGCTGCTGCTCCTAGCATTTATGCAGCAATCCAGAGCCACGGCAAGCCTATTAACTGTTTTCCTCTCCACTAAGAGTCCTGGCTTAGCTCATTGGCTACAGTGCTTGGAGATCTACATAATTTATTCACACTCCTACAAAGTCTTAGCTACTAACCCTTTCAAACATGCCTCTCTGTAACAAAAAGGACTTTTAAACCAATTATACAGGAGAAATGAAAATTTTTCAGCATTCTCACAAATTAGACAATTTTAAACCTAGTGTAATCTTCATTAAATATCAGAAATCAATCAAAATACCTCGATATGTTGCCATATAGCATGGCTCACAATTTACCTCTTCATTAGTGAAAGCTGTTCTGTTTTTCCATGCTACTCTCTCCTGTAGCATTCCAACTACAGTAGAGAGCTTTTTGAATCAGCTTAACTATTGTTCCAGGATTAAAGAACAGAGAGAAACAGAAACAAACAGATTATTTTATTTCGCTTTTTCCCAAGGCAAAAATGTATTAAAAAGCTTACCTAATTCTACTATGAGCTGTGGACTCTAGTTGATCACCCCCTGAGAGCTGATGAAGTTTTGTTCTTTCTAAGTGTTCCATATAATTATGGATCATCTATTTTGAAGAAAGAAAAGAATACACAAAATTTTAAGACTAATACCTGGAATAAAAACATACTGTTTTAGCAAGGGAAACCTTTTAATATAAATTTCTTATTTATCAGACTACAGCTCCATGTAAAAGAATATTAAGGATGAAATTTTCTTTTAACGGCAAAGGAATATGCAAATGCTTACATTTAAGGATGCTAGTGTCCGCAAAAGTAGCCAACATCTTGCTTAGCAGAGCAAAAAAATTTTTTCGAACCCTGGCCACACTTTCGAACCCTGGCCACGCTTTCACTGCTGTGGCCAGGGTTTGATTCCTGGTCAGCGAACTGAGATCCCGCAGTGGCCCAGTGTGGCCAGATAAATAAATAAATTTTTTTTTTTAAAGTATGCTTTTGTTGTGAAAATTTTACTTGGCATGCATGCATATACAAAAATTAAGAAGTATGTAAATCAATTTGAAACTGTTATTTACTTCAAATAAACAAAAAGATGAACTCTGATGCATGGATTAAGATGGGTAATTCTATCAAATCAAATATAAAAGAATCAATCAGGCTGTTCCCCAATTAAAACTAGCCCAAATAAGAAATGTATCGGACAAGGAAAAATTAATACAGAATCACATGGATATGGTATATGAAAGCATTTTTAAGACTTTTAAATTTAAAGATTTTTTTCTTTACCACCATTTAAAGAACAGTTTTGCAGAAACACAGTTTTCGTCTTTGTGTCAGTGAGTCAGAAATAATGAGCTGTTTCCTTCTTGTATCAGGGAAAACTTTAAGGGAAAAAATTTAAATGAGACTCTAGTATAACAAAGTGATGGTTGGGCCAAATAGATACCAATTTACATTTTCAAAAGATTTTAGAAAATCTAAGTCAAATTCTTTTATAATGGAGAGTGATTATATGAATTTGATTCGTTCAAATGGAAGAATCTAAGTTTCTTTAAGCATTCAAATGAATAGAAATCTCCCCTAGACTGCTTTTATAATAATCTATTGATATTTATTCAATATAGACAAATAAAAAGATTAAATAAATGCAAAGATACGGAATCAGTTCTACCCCAAATAGTGCATTCTATAGACTGATTCTTGTCTTAAATGAATACGTTAAAAAATTTTTAACTTAGATGTTGAATTCCAAACCTTCTTCAAATGACTGACCCAAGTAACTATTTCTGACATTCCAAAATGGTCTACATATGAAATTGGTTTCAACGCAATTAAACTAACACTTAATAGGACAGAACAACAACAACAAAATGGAGCACCAACTACAAATCAGCCAGTGCCTGTACAATGCTTCAATTAATCCTCACAACAACAATATGATTTTCTAGATAAACTCCAGTTTAAGGAGGTTAAAATAACTTGCCCAACTTGACCAGCTAGTTAATGATTAACTGTGCTCTGTCAGCTAGTTGGCTTTGTGGCCAGAACTCAGGTCCATCTGACTCAGTCATCAGAGTAGTTAAGCATTATAGGACTCATGGTGTATCTGCCCTTTCAGTCAATTCTGGAGGCAGGCAATGAGTTCATTGTCCTTTCTTCCTCACTCCCACAAGAAAACCCCACATCCTAAAGCATTTCCTGATGTCTGAAATAAAATATGCACTATATTCTATATATGCACAAAAAAGTAGAAATAATAAATTGTACATAAAAATTTAAGTTTTAATTACAGGGCTTCACAGAGTAGCTCTGTTTTTGTTTTTTTTTTTTAATAAAAAACTGAGTAGGGGGCAATGCTGCCAGGTAGAAAAGAGAGGTAGAGTAAAATAGGATATGCTTTAGATAACCTACTATTGGGCCCACCAGCCCCATCCCTCCTTATCTCAGAATGGCAACTCTCAATTTTCTCCGGAATGCACATTAATTCACACATATATCCAGGAGTCAATTCAGCAACAAGTAGCTGGAGTCATGAAGAAGGGTCCCTAACACACTGTTTAGAACATCCCAACTCCCCTCCCACTTAGAGAAATCTTCACAGCAGAGGTTGACTGTCAACTGTGGCTAAAACTGAAATGCAAGGCAATAGTTATTAGAAAAGCAAGGCAAAAATAGAGGTTTTGAAGACAAGTGGCATAAATCCTTTTAATTCTGTTGGCCTTGAATCCTTCCATATGCAGCTCAAAATCCTATAAGTATATCCACAAAGCCACTATTCTTAAAGTGGTTGAGATGGCATAAAACAAAGAGGCAAAGAAAATGTTCTAGTGCATTTAACGTCCATGTGTTTCATAACCTAAAAGCATTATTGAAAATTCAGGCAAGGGAATCAGACAGACCCAGGTTCAAATCCAGTCACATACTAGCATGGAATTTGGGACAAATCACTCCACCTTCTCTTTCTAAGCTTCAATCTGTAAAATGGGGGTGGATGATAAGAATTTACTCAGAGGATGAGATGAAAATGCATTTAAACAGTCCCTGATGTAAGACCGGGCTTCAAGTTTTTAGTGATTAATATAACAGTATGTATATTTCCTCCAATGCCCTCTTCAAGATATGTCTTCTTTCAAGCAAATTCAGTAATGTGTATAAAATTTTGAAGTTAGAGAACAGTTATTCACATTACAAAAAGAGCCAGAGATTTCCCTTAAGCAGCAAACAATGCTTTTGATAAAAGTGCTTTTAAACAACTTTTTTGTAGCCTATAACAAAGGTTACCTTAGTTAGAAGTAACAGTGGAAAGATTAAGGTTAAATCCTTCAGACTTCCTTTCCCTGAAGGTTTTCAGAATTTACCTTTAAAGGACACCTAGTTCTTTAGCATTGGATAGCTATTTATAATTGCTAATTGAATTGTATTTCTAGTACAGCTGTATAAACACAGAAAAATGTGGGCTAGAATAGAAAAGACCCACATTTTAAAGCAGCCATATCTGTGTTATATAAACCTTCCTCGAGGCAGAACGAAATACAGAGAGCCTATCAGGGCAGAGGATAGAAGCTGCTTAGGACTAAGGGTGGGGACCCTATGAAAATGCTACATGTAAGATCTGCCTTGGTTACTAGAGAGACCCAAATCTCTGCCTTGGTATTTAGGATTTTCCTGAGATCTTTTCTTCTTCCTGGGCTGTCCTTCTCTGAAGGATCAGAAATAGAAAAATTATTATATCTTTTCATTTGAAATTAAGATGTCAGGTTGCTTTTTCTGCTGGAACACATCTTCACTTTTGCTAAATACGTATATGAGAGAAAATATGAAATTTCACTTTACAATGATTTTTTTTCTAGACTGCATATTTTATACATATTTCAATTTAACAATCCTCAACTACTACAAAGGTTAAAACTTCAGTGAAAAAACAAAATGACTATTCATTATTCACCACTATCAACTATTTATGGCACATAAACCTATTCCCCCAAACATGCTTATAATTATCAGCATTGATAAGCACTACCAGTACAGGGCATTGTTCAGGCACTGAATTGAATGGTGTGAAAAGAACCAACAATAGACCTCCAACAATCAATTGTTCTTTAACAGTTTTAATATCTACCAAGTACCTGTCTTATTAAAATGTGGTTATTTTTTACATACTGAAAAGGCTGCTGTGTAAGCTGTTCCTGTTTTTCAAGAGCTCTATGGTTCCAGCCCTCTGTGGCCAATCTTTTTCCTCCACCACTAAATATCAATTCTGGGACACTTCATGCTTAGTGTGTGGTTATGTAAGTTAAAACAGTAATAATCAAACCTCACATGTCAGGAAGAAATTCCAACACCTCCCCAAGAAAGTGTTAAGCACACTAGTCTCCAAAGCAAATGAAACTGAGTGCAGTGGGGTTTTACATTCCTTAAAAGCAACAATATAGGTCCCTACCAAGGGCAGGATAAGAGATCACCCGAACTAGTGAAAGGAAAATGGAAGCTGAAGACTGGAACCATCTGTATCATGGGAAAGACTGGACTAGAAAGG